GAAAACAACTGTCTCTTCGCAACACCATAGATCAGCTGACACCATAAACACAACACACCGCCCTACGGCGTGGCAAGTCTCCCTCTAACATTCACCTCTGTTTTTGTCGCCGCTCCTCTGTCTACAGCACAACGCAACAAGTAGCTTTGGAACTCCCATCATCCTCAACATAAACGTGTCTACGAACATCAGTACTGGTGCAGTCATCGGGAGGACAAACCCTTCATGCAAACTGCACCTACTATCAAGAAGAAGAAGTGGTACACGTGAGCCGCAGCCGCTGCCAGGTGTACTCACCTAGTTATGCTTGCGGGGGTTGAGATTTGGCTCTTTGGTCTCGCCTGTATTGTATTTGGCTCTTTGGTCCCATGGTACATTTGAGCCGCGGCTTCTGCCAGGTGTGGTACATTTGAGCCACGGCTTCTGCCAGGTGTGGTACATTTGAGCCGCGGCTTCTGCCAGGTGTGGTACATTTGAGCCATGGCTGCTGCCAGGTGTGGTACATTTGAGCCACGGCTTCTGCCAGGTGTGGTACATTTGAGCCACGGCTTCTGCCAGGTGTGGTCCATTTGAGCCACGGCTTCTGCCAGGTGTGGTACATTTGAGCCGCGGCTTCTGCCAGGTGTGGTACATTTGAGCCGCGGCTTCTGCCAAGTGTGGTACATTTGAGCCATGGCTGCTGCCAGGTGTGGTACATTTGAGCCGCGGCAGCTGCCAGGTGTGGTACATTTGAGCCGCGGCAGCTGCCAGGTGTGGTACATTTGAGCCGTGGCTGCTGCCAGGTGTGGTACATTTGAGCCGCGGCAGCTGCCAGGTGTGGTACATTTGAGCCGCGGCAGCTGCCAGGTGTGGTACATTTGAGCCGCGGCAGCTGCCAGGTGTGGTACATTTGAGCCGCGGCAGCTGCCAGGTGTGGTACATTTGAGCCGCGGCAGCTGCCAGGTGTGGTACATTTGAGCCGCGGCTGCCGCCAGGTGTGGTACATTTGAGCCGCGGCTGCTGCCAGGTGTGGTACATTTGAGCCGCGGCTGCCGCCAGGTGTGGTACATTAGAGCGGCGGCAGCTGCCAGGTGTGGTACATTTGAGCCGCGGCTGCCGCCAGGTGTGGTACATTTGAGCCGCGGCTGCTGCCAGGTGTGGTACATTTGAGCCGCGGCTGCCGCCAGATGTGGTACATTAGAGCCGCGGCAGCTGCCAGGTGTGGTACATTTGAGCCGCGGCTGCCGCCAGGTGTGGTACATTTGAGCCGCGGCTGCTGCCAGGTGTGGTACATTTGAGCCGCGGCTGCCGCCAGGTGTGGTACATTTGAGCCGCGGCTGCCGCCAGGTGTGGTACATTTGAGCCGCGGCTGCCGCCAGGTGTGGTACATTAGAGCCGCGGCAGCTGCCAGGTGTGGTACATTTGAGCCGCGGCTGCCGCCAGGTGTGGTACATTTGAGCCGCGGCTGCTGCCAGGTGTGGTACATTTGAGCCGCGGCTGTCGCCAGGTGTGGTACATTTGAGCCGCGGCTGCCGCCAGGTGTGGTACACGTGAACCGCGTCTGCTGCAATAATGTCAACACTATGACGTCGTCTCAACATACGTCACAATTTCCCACTTGCAGTGTAGTCCCGACTCCAGCTGCCAAAGTGTTTAGATGTATCCAAACACTGCATTGATTTTGTTATTAGTGTATTATTATACAGTCTTTAACTCAATCTGTTAGAGTTAATAATGAGACTAACACCGTTGGGCCGAGAGTCGTGCCTTATCACCACCTACCACCCTAAGACTAACATTTATGCCCATAAAATAGTTAACGGGTAATAGACGGAAACAGTGAGATCTTGCCTGTGGTTGTCGACGTTGTAGAAGTCCGTTCGTAATTGTTGGATAATAATTCCAGCGGTAGGCTTCGATATACACGCCATGACTCTTTCTCTCACCAAGTGCTATGACTTCTCCTCCCTCCCGCTCCGGACGCGCCCATTAACAGTTCATTATTGATTTTGGTGGGAGTGGTTTTATTTAGTATATTTGATTATTGTTAATTCTGTTTCTTACAGGGAAGCGTATTATTTATTAAATTTATTTATTATTTATTTTTTATTTATTTATTAAATTAATTTATTTATTTATTTATTTTTTTATTATTTATTAAATATTTATTTATTTTTAAATTATTTATTAAATTATTTGTTAAATTTATTATTAAATTTAATTTATTTATTTATTTATTTATTAAATACGGCTAAATATAATATATAAATAAAAAATAATATATTTATTATATATAATAAATATTATAAATTTAAATATAAAATAAATTAAATAAATTATTAAATATTATTTTTAATAAATAAATATATTAAAAATTATATATAAATATAATAAATATAAAATAAATAAATATTTAAATATTAAATATTACATAATATTTATTTATTAAATACATAATAAATATATTAAAAATAAATTATTAATATTATTAAATTTATTTATTAAATACAAATAAATTAAATATTTATTTAATTAAATAAATATTAATATATAAATAAATATTAATATATAAATAAATAATATTTATTAAATACAGCAATCTGACTGTAGATTTTAACATTGATTCATTAATATTATTTTGGAACGAGATGTAATCGATGCACAATTTATATATTCTCGTTTTCTAGAGAAAATTACGACGTGTTCAATCTCTTAATATATGACTAAAATAATTTCATTGAGATTGGTATTGGTATGTGTATAGTTCAAGGGTTCCAAGGGGTGTCATAGCCAGGGGGTGGTAATGGGGGACGAGCTCCCATGACCTATAAAATGCTCCTATACGGCATGCGTCTCAAATAGCCTCTGACAACCAAGTCCAACTCCTGGCCTGCACGGGTGGCTTAGTCTTTAAGCCCGGCGAAACTGCTTTTACCGACAGGAGAAGGGGCGAGGACGTGCCTCTGGCGCCTTAAAACCAGCTGCTCCGGGTAGATGGGACTCGATAGCCTGGGAAGGCAGCCCATCTAGGGGAAGGAAAACCCTGATTTTAAACCTCCGCTGCCTTGCGGCCATACCCCTTTTTTGGGAAAGGCTTCAGGAGTCAACCTCGAGGAAACATCTGGAGTTGGAGCCCCTAAGGCAGTTCGTTGTTGACGTCGACCTCTTTCTGGCAGCTCCTGCGACGTTGCTGGAATCATGTGTAGTGGCATTTGCCTTTCTATTGGATAATTTCAGCAACATGGAGTGGGGGGACCTGCTGCATGGGTAACAGCTTCTCCTCCATATCTACCTACCCAGGCTTTGCGCCCTGTCAGGGTGCAACTCCATAGTCTTCCGAGACTGAAGGATGCCTACTACTAATACTATTATAGTTCAAGTTGAATGTGTATGTTCGTGTGGTGCATGAATGTGGCTTGTTTAGTGGTCAAAATACTAAAGGATGAGATCTCATATTGTAGGAAGTGTGATGTGTGCCAACACACGGATAAGTCAGAGTAGTTAATAATTACGGCCCCTCTTCATCCAATTAAGGTAGAAAGAAAACCTTTTTCACACGTTATTGTCGATTGTGTCGGATCTCTTCCCACTGCTAAGCGAGGCAATAACCGTATCTTAACGATAATGGCCCAATCTAATAGATTTCCAGAGTCAATACCTCTGAGAAAAATTTCCACCTGAATAGTAGCTTATGGATTAACCTCCTCCTTTACAACATTACCAGGAGTTATCCATACTGATGGTGGTGCTAACATTACTTCTAAACTGTTCCAGGAGTGGTGGGAATGCCAGGGAGTACGCCGCAAGTTATTCAGTCCATGTCACTCCAGGAGTAAAGGCGCTTTAGAACGAGTCCTTCAGTCTCTGAACCTCATCATTAGGACGTTCTGTGAAGGGCAGACCAAGGAGTGGGACAAAGTCAGTACTTCCGATACCGTTGAGAGTGAAGGTTAGTTTCACAGTACTCTGAAAGCATGTAGACGTTGGCCTAGGATCTGACCCACTTAGAGGAGAACGAGCAGCGTGTAGTAATTTGTCTGCTTCGGGAGTACGCAGAGATCTCTGAGGATGTACCCGGCCGTACACCCTCCCTCACGACATTACGGTGAATGGTCCTCCAGTGAAGCATCCCGCTCACCGAAGTCAGCAGAGAGACAATGACGGTGTTAGGAAGAGAAATTAACACGATGCTGTACAATGGACTCATCACACCAAATAAGAGATACTGGAGCTCACCCTATGCCTGTAATAGATTAGCATTGGGTGTGAATCTACCTCTACCTCTAGAGGTATTTACATTACAAACATAGATCTGTTTTGAGGTTAGTGGCAAGTTCTGCTTACTTTAAAAGACCGGTAAATTTATGAGTTTTTAATCCCTCATGGATTTTACAACTATGCCATCATACAATTTAGTTTATTACAACCAAATGCTGCCTCTTTCTATCTCTGATTAACTATATCATTTGGAATATACCAAATTGTCAAACTTATCTTGATGATATTGTTATATAAGATATGACTTGGTCCAACCACATAAATCAACTGTCTACAGAGGGCAAGCCTTACCATCAACCTGATGAAATGTAACGCTGGAAATGTTGTAGCAAGATACCTGAGTCACGAAGTAGTTAATAGAAATGAATTCTCACTATATGTCAACATAGACAATGATGCATATCCACATACTCGTCAACACGAAGGAAATAATTCGTTAATTATTCCAAATAATATAAGTGGATTGGAGCGTGTCTTACTGCTTTTACAGAAGTTTATGCCTCTTAAATAGGTGCAGGAGCTGTATGGTTAGATGGAGATGAAGAGGTGTTTTGCTCCCTGTGTGTGTGCTTCTCCAAGACGTTCACGCCTCAGTAATGATCCTACTATAGGGTGGAGAAGAGGCTCTAACCCCACGTTCTGGTTATTACTAGGGTTCGACGTGTATCTTCGAGGATCCCCGTTATGATGTACACTAACCACAGCTCTCTGATCTTTATTAACTGGTTGACATGTCGCAATGTTCAGGTTCTCCAGTGGCCGATGTTCTCCCAAGAATACACCTTCACTGTCAAGCATATTCCAAGAAGGGACAGCTTATTCACCGGTGCGTTGTCGTTGGTGTTTGCTGAGGAGCACTGCAGTGCTATGTAAGAAAATCGTAAACCTTCTACATGTGAAGATTTCTCATTTTTGTTGTCAATGATGAAGGGATGCATGTTAAGGTTGGTTATGGATAGATCAGCTGCAGATCAATGGACAGACAAAGGTTTTCTCTGTAGAGTGGAACCTTCCAGATGATTCTGTGGGAACCCGTGATCAGTGACCCCATCGCTCTCAGCTTTACATATAAGAACTGCAAAGTGCTTGGATATGCAGAATAGAGACCAGACATTCTAAGCTAGTAGATTAGCCACTTAAGATAGGGTTTTTCTAGAATGTATAAATTTAGGAAAGACAGTCCCTATCATGTTATGTGAAAAGCTGTATCTTGGTAGATTGGTGAAACTTAATTATTTGAATGGGATTGTTGCACTCTCATTTTGCTGCTAGTTTTACTTTAGTTCTAAATTCGTTGATTAGCTGACTGATGTCTTAAGAGTCCTGTTGACAGAGTTCATCACAGACACACTCTCACGTTCACTTAGTTCATAGTTTTCAGTAAATAAATTATTTAGATTTTATTAATTGCAGTTTTACTTTCTGTTTTCCTTTACGTTAACTGTTGTGGCCTCTAGGTTGTTCAAACATAGCACCGAGGAACTCAATAACAGGTGCAGAAAACAAGTGCAGACAACAGTATGGTCTTTGCATGGTATGTAAATGTTACATTTTTTATTGTGTACAAATGCTCTTTCTGAAGCCAGTAAGGTTAAGAAGAATATGCCTCCTCCAGAACTGGTTCCGTAGGTCTCCTGTGTTATTTATATGCCGTAAATATTAGTTGAGTATACTTTACCCGGCCGGTCAGCTTAGCGTCAATTACATCGTTCTGTGAGAAGTGCTGCTAGCGACAGAAAACTTACGTTTTCCCTAATGAGTGGAAAATATGGCTACGCTACCAACTTTGGCAAAAGTTATAAGATTTAAGGCAAAAGGCAAAAACTTGTAAACTTTTAAAGCATAAGGCAAAAATTGTAAACTTAAAATAAGGTAAAACCGTGAATTATAACTTGAGTATTCAAGTTAACACATACTAATCAAAGATAAATTTAAATGCTGTGAGGGTAAACAAATTTTCTAGTTAAGGAAGCACAAGATTGACGAACCCGTGGTCTGAACGTTCCGTTGACGGGCCCGTGGTCTGAACGTTCCGTTGACGGGCCCGTGGTCTGAACGTTCCGTTGACGGGCCCGTGGTCTGAACGTTCAGTTGACGGGCCCCTGGTCTGAACGTTCAGTTGACGGGCCCGTGGTCTGAACGTTCCGTAGACGGGCCCGTGGTCTGAACGTTCAGTTGACGGGCCCCTGGTCTGAACGTTCAGTTGACGGGCCCGTGGTCTGAACGTTCAGTTGACGGGCCCGTGGTCTGAACGTTCCGTTGACGGGCCCGTGGTCTGAACGTTCAGTTGACGGGTCCGTGGTCTGAACGTTCAGTTGACGGGCCCGTGGTCTAAACGTTCAGGTGACGGGCCCGTGGTCTGAACGTTCAGTTGACGGGCCCGTGGTCTGAACGTTCAGTTGACGGGCCCGTGGTCTGAACGTTCAGTTGACGGGCCCGTGGTCTCAACGTTCAGTTGACGGGCCCGTGGTCTGAACGTTCAGTTGACGGGCCCGTGGTCTGAACGTTCAGTTGACGGGCCCGTGGTCTGAACGTTCAGTTGACGGGCCCGTGGTCTGAACGTTCCGTTGACGGGCCGGTGTTGGTACATATCTGGAACATTAAGGGACAGGCTCCATCACTTGCCTTGCTGCAGAAATATTCGAACTAAGTTAATGGCATTCTTCATCATGTGGTGTTCCTTAAAGACGCACGAAGACATGATGTAATATGTTGCAAGCAATATTGCCAGTGTTGAGAGAGTGGCAACCCACACCAGCGGCGCCAGAGGCAACAGGAAGCTCCACGTGTCCCCTTCGGCTCGGCTGCCACTCGCCAGAATTTTAATGGCAGCGATGTGAAGAGGGTAAGTGAAGTCGACCACCTCGGAGCGCTCAGGAGTCAGTCCGAATGGTCCGAGACCAATGTCCCCGGTCTGTAAATGTAGCCAATCTTGAGTTACATGGTAGGTCTAAATGGTCCAACAGCAGTGTTCTCCACGTGTAAATATCTTTTTGTTATCTCTGAACAGGTGAAACTTAAAAGTCCGAGACCAATATTTCCCTTATGCAAAGGTCTTCAATATTCCTCACTGACCTGAGAAACACTACTAGTGGTTTAGGCGTTACGGTTTTCGTTAATAATTTATTATTAAATCTAATTTACTCTAATGCAGGTGCTGGAAATTCCGAATGACAGCCAGGAAGTAAAAGAATGTTACAATTGTTTTAACAAATTGTATTATAATACGAGATCATATATCAGTGGTTATATATTTGGAACAGGAGTAAGATATCCACAGGTCATGTTACACCTGTGGTTATCTTACCCCTTTGGTCATCTTACACCTGTGGTCATCTTACACCTGTGGTTATCTTAGCCCTGTGGTCACCTTACATCTGTAGTTATCTCACACCTGTGGTCATCTTACACCTGTGGTTATCTTACATCTGTAGTTATCTAACATCTATAGTTATCTCACACCTGTGGTCATCTTACACATGTGTTCATCTTACACCTGTGGTCATCTTACACCTGTGGTTATCTTACCCCTGTGGTTATCTTACCTCTGTAGTTATCTCACACCTGTGGTCATCTTACACCTGTGGTCATCTTACACCTGTGGTAGTCTTACACCTGTGGTCATCTTACATCTGTAGTTATCTCACACCTGTGGTCATCTTACACCTGTGGTCATCTTACACATGTGGTCATCTTACACCTGTGGTCATCTTACACCTGTGGTTATCTTACCTCTGTAGTTATCTCACACCTGTGGTCATCTTACACCTGTGGTCATCTTACACCTGTGGTCATCTTACACCTGTGGTCATCTTACACCTGTGGTCATCGTACACCTGTGGTTATCTTACATCTGTAGTTATCTTACATCTGTAGTTATCTCTCACCTGTGGTCATCTTACACCTGTGGTCATCTTACACCTGTGGTCATCTTACACCTGTGGTCATCTTACACCTGTGGTCATCTTACATCTGTAGTTACCTCACACCTGTGGTCATCTTACACCTGTAGTTATCTCACACTTGTGGTCATCTTACACCTGTGGTCATCTTACACCTGTGGTCATCTTACACCTGTGGTCATCTTACACCTGTGGTCATCTTACACCTGTGGTTATCTTACATCTGTAGTTATCTCACACTTGTGGTCATCTTACACCTGTGGTCATCTTACACCTGTGGTCATCTTACACCTGTGGTCATCTTACACGTTTGGTCATCTTACACCTGTGGTTATCTTACATCTGTAGTTATCTCACACTTGTGGTCATCCTACACCTGAGGTCATGTTACACCTGTGGTCATCTTACACCTGTGGTCATCTTACACCTGTGGTCATCTTACATCTGTAGTTACCTCACACCTGTGGTCATCTTACACCTGTAGTTATCTCACACCTGTGGTCATCTTACACCTGTGCTTATCTTACACCTGTGGTCATCTTACACCTGTGGTTATCTTACCCCTGTGGTCATCTTACCCATGTGGTCATCTTACACCTGTAGTTATCTCACACCTGTTGTCATCGTACACCTGTGGTTATCTTACCCCTGTGGTCATCTTACACCTGTAGTTATCTCACACCTGTGGTCATCTTACACCTGTGGTCATCTTACATCTGTAGTTATCTCACACCTGTGGTCATCTTACACCTGTGGTTATCTTACCCCTGTGGTCATCTTACACCTGTAGTTATCTCACACCTGTGGTCATCTTACACCTGTGGTTATCTTACCCCTGTGGTCATCTTACACCTGTAGTTATCTCACACCTGTGGTCATCTTACACCTGTGGTCATCTTACACCTGTTGTCATCTTACACCTGTGGTCATCTTACACCTGTGGTTATCTTACACCTGTGGTTATCTTACCTCTGTAGTTATCTTACACCTGTGGTCATCTTACACCTGTGGTCATCTTACCTCTGTAGTTATCTTACACCTGTGGTCATCTTACACCTGTGGTCATCTTACACCTGTGGTCATCTTACACCTGTGGTCATCTTACATCTGTAGTTATCTCACACCTGTGGTCATATTACACCTGTGGTCATTTTACACCTGTGGTTATCTTACCTCTGTAGTTATCTCACACCTGTGGTCATCTTACACCTGTGGTCATCTTACACCTGTGGTCATCGTACACCTGTGGTTATCTTACATCCGTAGTTATCTTACATCTGTAGTTATCTCTCACCTGTGGTCATCTTACACCTGTGGTCATCTTACACCTGTGGTCATCTTACACCTGTGGTCATCTTATATCTGTAGTTATCTCACACCTGTGGTCATCTTACACCTGTGGTCATCTTACATCTGTAGTTATCTCAAACTTGTGGTCATATTACACCTGTGGTCATTAATTTACACCTGTGGTTATCTTACCTCTGTAGTTATCTCACACCTGTGGTCATCTTACACCTGTGGTCATCTTCCACCTGTGGTCATCTTACACCTGTGGTCATCTTACACCTGTGGTTATCTCTCACCTGTGGTCATCTTCCACCTGTGGTCATCTTACACCTGTGGTCATCTTACACCTGTGGTTATCTTACCTCTGTAGTTATCTCACACCTGTGGTCATCTTTCACCTGTGGTCATCTTACACCTGTGGTCATCTTACATCTGTAGTTATCTCACACCTGTGGTCATCTTACACCTGTAGTCATCTTACACCTGTGGTCATCTTACACCTGTGGTCATCTTACACCTGTGGTCATCTTACACCTGTGGTCATCGTACACCTGTGGTTATCTTACATCTGTAGTTATCTTACATCTGTAGTTATCTCTCACCTGTGGTCATCTTACACCTGTGGTCATCTTACACCTGTGGTCATCTTACACCTGTGGTCATCTTACACCTGTGGTCATTTTACATCTGTAGTTATCTCACACCTGTGGTCATATTACACCTGTGGTCATTTTACACCTGTGGTTATCTTACACCTGTGGTCATCTTACCCCTGTGGTCATCTTCCATCTGTGGTCATCTTACACATGTGGTTATCTTACCCCTGTGGTCATTTTACACCTGTGGTTATCTTACCTCTGTAGTTATCTCACACCTGTGGTCATCTTTCACCTGTGGTCATCTTACACCTGTGGTCATCTTACATCTGTAGTTATCTCACACCTGTGGTCATCTTACACCTGTAGTCATCTTACACCTGTGGTCATCTTACACCTGTGGTCATCTTACACCTGTGGTCATCTTACACCTGTGGTCATCGTACACCTGTGGTTATCTTACATCTGTAGTTATCTTACATCTGTAGTTATCTCTCACCTGTGGTCATCTTACACCTGTGGTCATCTTACACCTGTGGTCATCTTACACCTGTGGTCATCTTACACCTGTGGTCATTTTTCATCTGTAGTTATCTCACACCTGTGGTCATATTACACCTGTGGTCATTTTACACCTGTGGTTATCTTACACCTGTGGTCATCTTACCCCTGTGGTCATCTTCCATCTGTGGTCATCTTACACATGTGGTTATCTTACCCCTGTGGTCATTTTACACCTGTGGTTATCTTACATCTGTAGTTATCTTACACCTGTGGTCATCTTACACCTGTGGTCATATTACACCTGTGGTCATCTTACACCTGTGGTTATCTTACATCTGTAGTTATCTTACATCTGTAGTTATCTTACACCTGTGGTCATCTTACACCTGCGGTTATCTTACATCTGTAGTTATCTTACATCTGTAGTTTTCTCACACCTGTGGTCATCTTACACCTGTGGTCATCTTACACCTGTGGTCATCTTACACCTGTGGTCATATTACACCTGTGGTCATCTTACACCTGTGGTTATCTTACATCTGTAGTTATCTTACATCTGTAGTTATCTTACACCTGTGGTCATCTTACACCTGTGGTTATCTTACATCTGTAGTTATCTTACATCTGTAGTTTTCTCACACCTGTGGTCATCTTACACCTGTGGTCATCTTACACCTGTGGTCATCTTACACCTGTGGTCATCTTACACCTGTGGTCATCTTACACCTGTGGTCATCTTACACCTGTGGTCATCTTACACCTGTGGTTATCTTACATCTGTAGTTATCTCACACTTGTGGTCATCTTACACCTGTGGTCATCTTACACCTGTGGTCATCTTACACCTGTGGTCATCTTACACCTGTGGTCATCTTACACCTGTGGTCATCTTACACCTGTGGTTATCTTACATCTGTAGTTATCTCACACTTGTGGTCATCTTACACCTGTGGTCATCTTACACCTGTGGTCATCTTACACCTGTGGTCATCTTACACCTGTGGTCATCTTACACCTGTGGTTATCTTACATCTGTAGTTATCTCACACTTGTGGTCATCCTACACCTGAGGTCATGTTACACCTGTGGTCATCTTACACCTGTGGTCATCTTACACCTGTGGTTATCTTACATCTGTAGTTATCTCACACTTGTGTTCATCTTACACCTGTGGTCATCTTACACCTGTGGTCATCTTACACCTGTGGTCATCTTACACCTGTGGTCATCTTACATCTGTAGTTACCTCACACCTGTGGTCATCTTACACCTGTAGTTATCTCACACCTGTGGTCATCTTACACCTGTGCTTATCTTACACCTGTGGTCATCTTACACCTGTGGTTATCTTACCCCTGTGGTCATCTTACCCCTGTGGTCATCTTACACCTGTAGTTATCTCACACCTGTTGTCATCGTACACCTGTGGTTATCTTACCCCTGTGGTCATCTTACACCTGTAGTTATCTCACACCTGTGGTCATCTTACACCTGTGGTCATCTTACATCTGTAGTTATCTCACACCTGTGGTCATCTTACACCTGTGGTTATCTTACCCCTGTGGTCATCTTACACCTGTAGTTATCTCACACCTGTGGTCATCTTACACCTGTGGTTATCT